AGGCAAAATGTAAGCTCTTCAATATATCAGAACTGTTTTTAAAATTAAATCTAAGCTAAGCAGATAGACCACATAATGAAAGCCTCTGATAAAACTGGATAAACAAACAAAAAAATTCACAAAACTAAGATAATACATAGCTGTCATAGTCATACGTTAAAAAAAAGCCTCATTCGCTTATTAAAGAAATGGATTTTCAGAGCGAGCCGCGAAGCAATACCCAACTCTTCGTTCTGTACAAGAGGCACTGAAACAAATTGATTCAGAAAGACTGGGAAATTTTAAATGGACAAATATATGGGAGGAAACTGCAAGCCCAATAAATCCCAAATCCAGTAAAAGAAGGATGGGGTCTTTGAAGGATGAGGTCTCTCACGGTACAAAGATGAATACCAAGCGAGATAATCAGTGACTGAAATCAGGAGAAAAGGAGAGGGATGAGGAAGGAGAGGAAGAAGAAATATTAGGTGACAATCCTAGCATCAGAGAAGGTGGAATTCAGGCCCAGGAGCATTTGGTGAGTCCGAGCTAACGTGCAATTCACAGTGCCGGTAGAAATAGCACAGCAGTAATAGTCACAAGGCAGAAGTTACAGAAATACCAGACGTCATAGGAATATAGTAGCACCAATAGGCTTTAATTTACTTCTCTTAGTCTATGGAAGATCAAATAAATAAAACAAAAAATGTAGGGAAGAACTCACAACAGAATTAACAATTATTTATCAGCAATTAACATTTAACATTTTATTCTTAATTATATATTTAAAATTTAACATTTAATTAAATGTTAAACATTTATTGAATATTTACAATTAATTTTTAATAATTAACAATAAAACAACACAGTTAAGAGGTAGATATGATTAATGTATTTAAAATTTTTACCCTTCTGAGAGACTCACAAATTAGGACATATTAGACAATTTTGAAAAAATTGATGAATTCCAAAAAAGCAGCAATAGCTTTCTTCTACACAATCTGATAAAAGAAAATTAATAGCAAAATACTTTAAAAATCTCTTCAATTTAGAAATAAAAAACTACAGAATACCCCAGAAAAATAACCTTGAAAACATTATACGTATATCAGACCTAAAGAATATATTTAAATAAGTGATCAGAGGAAAATTTATTGGCTTGTATATTTACATTAATACAAGTGAAAGAATAGAAAGCAAGAAATGGAGCACTGACTGCAAGAGTCAACACAAGCAAAGCAGAGTAAGATCAATAAACCAGGAGGAAGGAATTATTAAAAGCAAAAGCAAAGATGGATGAGTTAGAAAATAGCAAAACAGTAGGACCAGTAAACAAAAGCAAAGCTGCTTCTTTGGGGGAAAAAAAGAAAACAATAAATTATATAAACAATTGGCTAAACCAACCAAGGCAAAAAAGAGAGGATACAAAACACACAAGTAAGAAATGTTATGGACTCATGGTTAAACCATCTGAGTCTAGTGTATACGTGGGAGCAGCAGTTTTCCAACTTCTCCTATTTCTTTTACATAAATCAGTGTGTTTAGATTTTTTTGTTTCTTATGTGGTTACTTTTGACAAATAACATATTTCAAGAAAATTATCCATTGCATCAAGGTTTCCAAATTTATTTGCATCTGTTTGCACATCATGATCCTTTTAATTGATTAGGACCTATCATATGACCCAGAAGAGGAGAAGCATACCACAAAGCTTCATGGTTTATCTAACAGGATGTTGAATGGACCTGTTCTCATTATGTTTGAAACGCATTTTAAGTCCTAAAGTGAAAACACTAAGTGCTCAGGAGCAGAGGACATGACCCCTTAAGCAGCAGCAAAACCAGGACTGCTAGGCCAGCCCAGCTCTTTATTTAAACAGAAATCTAGAGACATTTGAAGAGTCACAGATGAGGGAGTTGTCAGCCTGGGGAGCAGGATGCAGCGGCTTCTCCCTGCTATGGGAAAGGAAGCCTTCCACCATCCACTCCTAAGCCACAGGAAGGCGTGCTCTAAAAAAACCACTCAGAACTGGGCACCACGGGACACAGAGCCAGCATTTCACTGTGTGCTGATCTATCCTCCATGCTTTCTGGACCAGGAGAAAAGAATCAGGAGTGATGACAGGGCAGTGAGAACTGCCCCCCACTGCCTGGCGTGAAAAGATGGGTCCAGAACACATTCTAGAAAGCAGTCTGGCTGAGGCTGGCTTGCCGATAGCCTGTGCAAGGTCACAGGTCACCAGGTGACAAGACTACTGCAGCAAGGGCCCCACACGTGAGCTGCCTGGGCAGCACGAGGTGAGGGCCGATCTCTCAGGTCAGAGAACTGTGCAGTAGAGATCCCTGTCACGACCAGGGGGGGACCAGGCTTACACCGTTCCCAAGCCCAGAGGAGCAAACAGTGGAAGTCGGGGCGGGGTGGGGGCAGACCACGTGCCCGCCTGACTCGGATCCTCAGGTGGTGGCCTGCCTGGCCCTGGGGCTGGAACAGCTGAGCATTAAGTTGGACTGAAGTTTTGAATCGACTGAACCAGACTGGACTTTTTATATCTGAAAATGAGAGGAAGCTGTGGCTCCTGCATGAGGTGTCTTTAAGGGAGAGGAAAGGGGCCATCCTAAAGCTGCTCCGGGGGCGGTGACTGGAGAAAAAAATAAAGCAATCTCTTGCTGTACTCTCCTGAGTTCAGGCTGTTCCATGACACATCTACCTGAAATAAAATCTGGAGGCAGGCTATTGTGGACTTGACACCTCAGACCTCTTGCTGTTAGAAAATATTGGATTCAACCTGGTGGCTTGTAGCTTAGCATGAACTGTGCTACGTTTCAACATTTGCAAGAAAGTTAAATATGAATAAGAAGGAGATTGACCTGAAACGTGCCTCTTTGGGACATTCTTTGGCCTTGAAGTATGTGGAGTTCACAACCAATAAATCCTAATTTGAACTGATTGATACACGTCCAACATCACTATCTTGTGATGCATTGTAGCCAAGCCTGTGTTACATCTGGATATCTAAGATTGTTTTTCTTCCTTATGAGTTTTTTCCTTTCAAATATAGAATGCGCATTTGTCCTTGAAAAAAGGAACTTAAAACAAAAGTCCTGGTTGCTTGTCACTATAGCAATAACTGCACACACAATGTGAATTACACAGATGTGTTCCACGGTGGGGGTCATTTCATAGGTCAGATGGGAGGTATGCAGAAACATGTGCTCGTAATCTATAACCAGAGCTCCCAGCTGGGGTGGCCTCTGCCATTACCATAAGGAACAGTGGTTCCCTTTGAAACAGAAGCTTCTGGTCTCAGCAGAGCTCACAAGGCAGTGGAGCAAAGAGTTCCCCCTTTTTCCTTCTCACTCCACTTCAGAACAGCGGAGACAGAAGCTGTGTTTTACTTGCTGGAGCTAAAAATAACTCATTTGTAAGTTTTGTTACCATGACTTAATCCTTCAGAGCAAAAGTAAAATCGAATTATACTTGCTGATGGTGAAATGATGGAGGTGGGGCCAGCAGGTGTGGGAGCCATCTTCCCCGAAGCCACAGTGCAGTTCCTCTGATCGAATATAATGCAGTGACAAGAGCACAGGCTTTGGTAAAAGTACCTTTGTCGTTTACCAGCTGGGTAACTGTAACCGACTTACAGTGTATTTCCCCTAAATATGAAGAGCAAAAGAAGGAAATAGCAGTATAAAAGCCTGTTCTAAGCAGGAACCATTCCCTACAACAGAAGGAATTTAGTGAAGGGAATGGGTTGAAGAGGTGATGGAGGCTGAGAAGCCACCCAGGACGTAGTTAGAGGCTCAGAGATGGCCCTCAGGCAGGCACTACCACCTAGGCTGGGGAGGCAGATGGAGGAGGTGGTGTGGCCACTAGGGTGACCAATTGTTGGGTTTGCCCGGACTTTTTGATTTAGCCCTGAAAGCACTATGTCCTACAAGACTCTCAGTCCCAGGCAAACCTGGATGGTGGGTCACCCTCATCACCACAGTCCAGGGTGGGGAGCTGCAGAAGCTAGAGCCACAGTGGCCTGCCTGTGGGAGCTGGAGCCACAGAAGAGGTTCAGAGCTGCCAGAGAAGCCATCCCAGGCAAAGAGAGGGAGGGCGAGAGGCTCCCTGGCTTCTTCCTCACCCGGCCCTCCAATCTCCCATTGGTGCCTCCCATCAGCCAAGCCCAGCTGGCCATCAGCTGACATGGGAGCCAGGAAAGGCAGCCTCCTTTCCCCATATGCAGCAGAACAGTGAAAGGTTGAAGGAGGGATCTGAGAGCACACAGGCCCAGGCGTGGTCCTGTGACAGTGGGCAGCTCCCTGCCCTTCCCTGAGACTTGGCTTCCTTGCCTGTGCAGCGGTGACAGAGTAGGCAGTTGTGGAAAATGAAAGAGATGTGCCAAGTGCCCAGTATGCGTCCTGGCACACGGTAGGCATTTGCTATACAGTAGGATGATGGGAAAGTATTTCGAATATACTTCAGTCTTCATGGCTCAGGGGACAGACGGACAGGGGAGATCGTCTTCAGTCTCTTCCTGCCTGTTGCCTTCCAAAGTATAGATCTTCAGGGTGTGGAAAGACTAGGCAAAATGTCTGAGAACAGAAGTTTGAGTAGAGTAGGAATTTCCTCTCTGTACACTCAACTCCCGAACCCTGATATTTGATAGATTCCTCAGCAAAGGATTAGGAGAAGAGATGGAAGGAGAAGCAATAACCACTTCTGCTCTGGTGGATGCTGGATTAAAGGACCCTGTGGCTTCTTTCTGGTCGGAGCCTTGAGGAGACTCCAAAACCCAATTAGGATTGTGGGCTCTCAGAGGAGAAGCAAACCTGGGGTCTTCTCCCTGGTAGGAGCCCCAAGGAGCTGGCTGCACTCAGGCAGGGAGGACGTGGCTGCGTGGTGAAGGATGCTCTCTTCCTGGCTCTTCCCAGGACCCAGCAGGGCCCACACGTCACAGAGGGAGCGTGGACCTGAAGAGGCAGGTAGACAGGGACAAGTACTTCAGTAGCTACACAAGCGAAAGCTTGACCACATGTTTTTCTCTCTGGATTCAAATGAAAAGCTTTTAAACTAGAGATTGTATGAAGAAAGCCCAGTTGGACTCTGACAGAAAACAAATTGAGATACTCACAAATAGTTTGTTGTTTATAGGGAGCCAGGCTAGGCTGGGGTCTGATTTTCAGTGGGTATGTGTTATTTTGGGTTCTCAACTTCTGCAGCCAGGCTAAGCCAGTTGGTATATTACAAACCCTACATGATAGCTTTAGTAGTAGGCACAGTGTCTCAGGGGGGAAACTTTTGGTTTTTAGCTTTGGGAAAGTAGATCATTTTCTGATTGTAGGTGTTCCCATGAAGCTCCATGTGGGGACAGAAGATGGCATCAACGTAGAGGACACTGAAATAGAGACGAAGAAAATCAAGACTGGGTGTATCTTTTGGACCCCTGAATCAAGCTGTACCTAAAGCTGGTCCTATCCCCAAACTTTCCAGTTGTTTGAGCCAATATATTCCTTTTTTGTTTAAGTCCAATATGGCTTTCTGTCACTTGCATCTAAAAGAGTCCTAAGTGATACACTGTTCAACCAATTTATTTACTGCCCCATGTGACCTTGAGTAAGTGACAGGAGGTCCTGAGTCTGTTTCCTCAGGAGGATCAAGTGAGGTAATATGTGTAGCATCCTCAACTCAGGGTACTTGACAAATATTAATTCCATATATTGCCTATTGGTCGAAGAGCTCGTCCTGTCTGTGCCTTAGTTGTCTCACAGACGTGGGATGCCATGAGCATCTACCTCGTAGGTTTGTTCTGTGGATTCAGTGAGTTAATTCTTGTTAAAGGCTTAGAATGGTGCCCAGCACATAGTCAGAACTCAGAAACACGTTAGCTACTGCTACATAAGAGAGCATGGGGTCTTTGACATAGGAGATGCTTCATTAAGTAATTACTGTATTAATTTAAATGATGAGAACATTTGATCGTATAGTAGATGTGGCACTGGATTTGAAGTCAGAACTTGGCTCATGCCCCACTTGTTCCTTGATTTTTTTTAACATTTAACTTTGGTTTTATTTAGGAATTGCTTTTCTTTCTTATTTTTTTAAGAATAGAATACTTTATTACTATATTCCTGTTGTCCTTGATCTTTTATAAGTCACTTAAATAATCTGGATCTTAGAGATCCGGGGCCACTGTCACTGCTCTTTTTGTCTGTAAAATGTAAACAGGCTTTGGAAAACTCAGCATTTTGTCTCTTGATATGGATCCCAAGTTCTTGATAGAATTGTTATGAAATGGGATCACTTTAGAACCACTGATAAAGCAGGCGTGCCTGACTTGGCAGGTCCTTAAAAGCATAGGTAGAACTTTTATAGTAACCAGATCACAGGGCCTCCCGCCAGAGATCCTGGCTGAGTTGGCGCGGGTGGAGGTGGGGGTGCCTGGGAGCCTGCATTTGTAACCATTTCCTCAGATGGTACTGATGGTCATCGAGGCTTGGGAACCATCACACAAAGGGGCTTGGTAATTCAATGGTGAGTCTGAATTCAGTAATAGCTTCTTAAATTAAAAATATTAATTTAAAGATAAGTATTTTAGATAAAAATTTTTATGCATACATAATAATAGAGTATTAACTCTGGAATGAGGCAGAGATGATCGAGTTGGATCCATTTACTCACAAATCACGTATTTTCCAAATCTCTTGATGCTTCTGGATTTTGGAGACTTGCTTGAGGCCATGTATAGTGTAAAACAGCTGGAATTAGAAATGGGGTCCTGACTTCCCTCTCCCTTTCCCCATGCTATCATCACCACAGGGCATTCACATGAGACGTGCTCTCTGCTTCAAGATATAAAAGGCAAGCTGTCAAGCCCACATTTCTGAATGGTGCTCAGTTCTCTAATTTCAGCAAAGATGTCAGAGGGGTACAGCCTCTGTCTCCTTCCTGTATTCTTTTCTAAACTCAAGGATGCGCCATGGCTCTGGGAAGGGGAGGTTTGCTAAGGTTTACTGAATGCTCATTCTGTAATCTAATTTGTAACCACTGAGGGTTACAAGAAACAATGAGACACTGACCTTTCAGGAAGGTCCTGTTAGAACAACATTCCTGTGGCATGAAGGGGCTTCTGTGAGTGTTTATTCTGCTATTTCTGTGACTAGGTTTCAGAAATGTCCATCTGCCATGTACCATTTAATTTTCACACTTATTTCATTCTTTCCTGGGGACAGGGAATGGATGAATAGTCACCCTTTTAATGTCATGAACAAAACAGATCTCTCAGCCTTGCTTTTATTAACTCAAATTTCAAATTTGTATTCTTAGTAAAAACATTGTACTTACTTTAAAAATAGCTTTATAAGGTGTTTTTGTAATGTACAAACAGCATTCTATTCCAGAATTTGTACTGTAATGTTACTCATCAATAATAAAACTTTTAATAAGCCTACCTTTAAGACCCATCATCAAACCTATTATCCCTAAAAGCCTATTGATGTTTCATACAAGCTGTCTGAAAAATTATTCCACTTAGATGTAATTTATTTCATTTTGTCTTTACATTTGGTTTTAGTTATAATTACTAAAGCCATCTAGTTCCCTATATTGTTTTTGTTTCTATAATGAGGCAACCTATTTAACTAGGAGAAAGGTGAAAATGTTCTTTCTAGTGGTTAATAACCTCTGCAGGAAATATTAATCAGCATAACGCATGCATGAATAAAATCTTTTAATAATTTTCAAGGATAATTTGGTTTTGTGAAAGGAATCTGAGACTATTATATGCCCACAGGGCATTTTTTCTTGCACAAATAACAAAGTATTTAATGTAATGCTTTTAATGCAACTTTGTATGCAAACCTTTTATTGAAACAGTAGAGATATAAAAAGAAAATGAGAGTCAGAAGAGCAGCGTTAATGCCCCCTTGTAAGTGGCTAAACTTTCAAAAGCGGATTCACCTCTTTGGAACTTAGTTTCCTCCTTTTTTTTAAAAAAAAGGGAAAAATAATCATGCATATTTTAATGCCAATGGGAAGATTAAGCACATAATTTATGTGAAAGTGCTCTGTAAAACTCTTTACAAATGTTAAAGATTAAATCCCTCTGTGAATTTCATAAGCCATTTTCGTTTTCAGGAAGATAAGAGGTTTCTTACTTTTCTCCAACAATCATTATTACCCTGGTAATGACCTAATCTTTGTGCTTTTCGCAGTCCCAGTTGGCTCAGATATTATTGATTTTCTCCTCAGTTTACTCATCTGTCTGATGGGGGAATTTTATTTTTCTTACATTATAGGAGAAGAGACAGAAAGAAACATTTAGTGAAGTAACAGTTTCGTCATCTCAGTTAGAGTCCGAGCCAGAATGTCGAGCTGGGACTTCTGCCTCTGAGTCCTGTGCTCTGTTCTGGAGGCTTCCTGTCTGCGGGAGCTAGCCGGTCTTTGCTAGCACCCTCCTCCCAATGATTTCCTTCGTGCAGAGTTAAGAAAAAGACAGGGAAGGGGGTGTGACTATCTGCTTTCTGGGTGTACAGACATGTCTTTTCTAGGACCCGGGGTAGCTCGAGGCAGAAAGAGTTGGCGCTCCTCGGCACTGGCTGAATCTGAAGCACCCCTGCAGTGGCCAGACCCAGGAGAGCACCAAGTCAGGACCGCCTAGAATGATTGTGCTTGTTCTTCTGAAATCTTAAATATAAGGGAAATAGAAAGGACTGGGAGGCAGCACAAGGTGTCACTTCTCTCATATGACAAGACCCTCTCTCTTTCTCAACGTCACCAGAAACAGTACACACCTATTAGGCACCTTGAGGGGCTTCTGGAAGCTGAGGGGACACAAGTGGCCTCTACCCCTGCTCAGGCATAGGACCAAAGAAGACTCGTTGGCCTAGAACCTGTGTTTGGGGTCTTCAGTGATGATGCTGCAGTTACAAAAGGCAGAAGGTTGAGGGCAATGTCGCTGGAATGGCTGAAGAGGGAATCTAGGTCAGCCCTGAGTGTAGAATGAGGGCAGAAGGCCCAGTGTTCCCAAGAGTAAGGTTTTATATTAGTCAAGGTTCTCCAGAGAAGCAGAACCAGTAGGAGATATATATGAGGAGATCTATTATGAGAATTGGCTCACGCGATTATGGAGGCAGAGGTATGCCATGATCTGCTGTCTGCCAGCTGGCGACCCAGGGAAGCTGGTGGCATAATTCAGTCCCAGTCCAAATGCCCAAGAACCAGGAGTTCCAGTATCTGAGGACAGGAGGAGATAGATATCCCAGGTCAAGAGGAGAGAGAAAGAATTCACCTGTCCTCTGCCTTTTTGTTCTATTTGGGCCCTCGATAAACTCGATGATGCCCACCCATGTTGGTGAGGGTGGGTCTTCTTTACTCAATCTACTGATTCAAATCTCTTCCTGAGATCCTCACAGACACATCCAGAAATAATATCTTATCAGCTATCTGGACATCCCTTCACCTAGTCAAAGTGACATAAATCAACCGTTACAAGTTTTATAAGTGACACTGCAGGAGGAGGTCATCCAGGCAAACTAGGAGAGACAGTAAGAGTCACAAGATGGGGACACCATGTCTCAGGATGCTGAGCATCACTGGGTACACAGGGGTTTGTGGTCATCAGATCACAGAAGACTTGTGTCTCAAATTAAGGAAATGGCTTCATCTGCTGCTCATTTTACCAGAGGATCAGCATAATTTCCTTCTACTTCCTTTGAAAACATTGCTGGCCGTGTCTTGTTACTCAGCAGGTTAGAACGAGAGAGTCCTCCCCAGTAAAGCCATTCTGCCTGTTGGCACCCTCATGACCCGGTCTCCAGCAGGACAGGCAGGATGTCCTGGGTCTTCCGTATGACTCTGAGTCATGGCGCTTGCTTCAGATGAACTTAATATGTCACATATACTCGGCAGAGCCTCATTTCTGTTTCTACTGAGAATTGTCTTTCCCTAAACCTTCAAATGGACCAGCTTGTTTGTCGGATTTTGGTTTGCAAGGGGATAGTGAGTTAACAAATGGCCTTGTTAGAGGTTCTATAATGAGAGCACTTACTAATGCTGCTCGTTTCTCCAGGTGTTCAGACAAGGAAGTTGTCACCGCGCTGATGGGAGTCAGCTATTAACAGTGGCGTCCTTCATTTTTATGAGAGATGAAACTGAAACAAAATGTTTCTCATGGTGTCGCTAGGTAACAGAAAAAATCTGGAATCTTTCCCCCTATACGCAGATTCTCTCTTTCCATGCATTAAGTTCATCAATTTCAGTTGTCCATGGTGGAAAGAGCACTGGGTGCAGATTCTAGACACAGGGGTCCTGTGTCTACTCTACTGTAAGATGAATGCAGGTCTTTGGCAAGTCAATTTTACCGATTTCTGCCTCAGTTTTATTATTGGTAAAATGAAGAATTCTAAAAGAATTTGAAGTGGAGCTGCCCATCATTTATTCTCTTAACAAACATTTATTTAGTGCCTACTATGTATCTGACACAGCCCTAATCCCTGAGGATACAAAGAAGAGAAAATGACAGTCTTCGCCTTCAAAATGCCTAGCAGGTATTAGGAGGATAGAAAAATAAACCCACACCTGCTAAGCAGTATATTTGGTGACATGATTAGATAAAGCTCAGGGCACTATGGGAAGGTGAAATTAAGGCACCAAAATGTAGAGGTTACCTCTCACTGTTTGAAGACACTGACTGGTAAGTGTGAATTCAGACCACTAGACTGGATTCTCTATCAGAGTTCTCCTTCACAACCCAATGCCGATGTCATGAAGTAAAAACAAGTATGGTGGATGTGTTAAGAAGAATAAGAGAAAGGCTCAGTGGGTTTAAGTCCTAGCTTGGCCTTATTAACTCGGTCACTTAGGCAAATTCTCCTGCACCTTATTTCATACCTGTAAGATGGAGACGACAACTGACATCACATAGGTCAGCCGGAGGTATAAAGAGTCACTGAAGACTAGATGTTTTTACAGGCAACTTATGTACCTTAATTATAAGATTCCAACACTTTCTTACAGGTTCCAAAGGAAGACAAAATGGCTCTTAGTTTTAGTTTCAGTGGTCTTTAATACACCTTGCTGGTTAAATTCTAGAATTCGATCTCATTTGTCTCTACTCATGGGTAGGCGCCCTGAGGAGATATGGGGCTGGCTGTTAAAGCCGTAGTGTTAACAATATCACCCTTGGTCTTGGGTCTGTAGCTCAAAACTGAGGAAGACGACTGAGTCCTTTACCACATAGTACGGCCAAGAGCTTCTGTACGTAGTAAAATTCATCCTGGAAGCTCTAAACAAATGGATCACGTTTGCTGTTAATAATCGCTCCCACCACATCAACAGATCAAAGTGCTTCTCTTCCCTGGATGGGGTGTGAGGGGGCCTTCCGCGTACTATGCTTTAATGGCCCTCCGTTCTGTTGGATTTTTGTACGACACTCAGTCTGTCAGCTGTGTAGGGTCATGGCTATTTTGCTAGAGAAAGGCAATCTGAGGCACCAACTACATGAACATCGGGATGTATAGATACTTCGTCCAACTTAACATGGCCTTCAAAGCCGTTAGGTGTTTACAGCTGCTTCATATCAAGGCTGAGTAGCTCACTCTATGGCCCAGCCAGGGGAGGCCGTCTCTCTCTCCTATTAAGCTTTGGGTGAGACACCTGAATCCCAGTGGAAAAGTGCTTCTCTGCAGATGCTTCGAACATAATCTGCCAGGTCCATCCTTTCCAGAAGGCCATCCAGCCCCACTGTACCTACCTACACATGAATGTCCCCTAAGATTGACACTTCATTTTTCCATAAACGGCTTTCTCTTTTTCGTCATCCTTGCTGCCCTCCCTATCTCAAAATAGCAATTTTTACTAACCAATGATAAACCCATTTTAAAGATGAAGAAACTGGATCCCAGAGAGTCTGTGAATATTGCACCACTTCTTGTTGCTCTTGGCTCAGTTTTCAGTGCTTTCCCCACCACCCCATACTGATGGTAGCGATCTGCCAATCTCTCATGAGGTTTGACACTTCTCCAAATTTTTCCCTGTGTTTGTCATTAGCTCTAAAGAGAATAAGAAGTCAAAATTCACACTAAAATCAGAGGCGAAGGATTATCCCCACTAGAGACCGAGACATTAAGTATATAGGAATCCTGACCGTGGGGTACTAGTTCAGGGATAAACAAATAAACAAATGGACTTGGTTAGGTCAAGGAATAGAATCATATAGATATGGCATTACAAAGCAATGAGGAAAAGATTCAAAAAATAGTCCTGGGAAAATTGAGTTCCAGCTGAATAGAATGTAAACTTGGATTCCTATTTCAAGCAATTTACACAAATAAATTCCAAGTGGATTAAAGATCTAAATGTGAAAAGTAAAAAATTTAAATTTAAAGGTGTTGGAGAATATCTTTGTGACCTCAGGCTGGAAAAAGAGTTCTTAAAAAGTACCCAAATATTAAATATTAAATACCACAAATATTAAAATTTAAAACTTTACAACAGAGACACCATAGACAGTTCAAAGACAAACCATAAATAGCAGAGGATATTTCTACACATAAACCCAAACAAAGGATTAATATCAGACTATATATATTTTTAAAAATTCCTAAAAATTGACATGAAATAAACACAACCCATAGAAAAATGAGCAAAATACACGAATGACCAAGTCACAAACAAAGGAAACACAAATGACAAATAAATACATGAAAACATGATCAATCTCTCTATTAACTAAGGAAATGCAAATTAAAACCATAAGATTGAATCTCGTACCCTTCAGATTGCTAAAAATGTAAAAGTCTGACAATCCCAAAAGTTGGCAGGGATGTGGAGCAACAGGAACTCTTATACACCTCAAGGTGGGGATCTGATTGGATACCAACTTTGGACAGCAGCTTGACAACATCTAGTTAAGCTGAAGAGGAAAAACTCTCAACTCAGCAATTATATTCCTAAGACTATATCCTGGAGAAATTCCTGTGCATATACACAGGAAAACATTCACCAACGTTTACAGCAGGATTGTTGATATGGCAAAAAATGGGAAACATCCTATAAAAGACTCTCAACAGAAAATCAGGTCATTATATTGTGATATCTTCACAGACCAGATTATGGTTCAGCGATGAAAATGAATGAATAAACTAGAGCAAATTAAATCACCATAAATAAGTCCCATAAAGATAATGTTGAGCAACAAAAAAATGTTATGTGACCTTATAACATTTCTACAGATTTTAAAACACATAAAATAATAAAACATATGCTTTTGATATATACATATGTAAGCATAAAGAAATGACAAAATCATAAAGAAATAAGCTGAAATATTAAATATCCAAATTAAAGTTAATTTGGTGGGGAATGAGGGGGGATCTTAGAGTATTACATAGAGGGGTTTCAATGGTGTTGGTAGCACTTTATTTCTTAAACTGAATTATGGATATGTCTGCTATATTTCATAACATTTTTAATCAGAGGGAAGACATATAAGTCTTTTCCTGGGTACATCATAAGTACTAGGTAATGTATTATCTGTTTCTACCTGTATTATTTCATTCAATTCTCATAGGACTTCCTCTCATAATCTCATGAATCATGAGGAAAACATTCTATTTATGTTCTGAAATACATCCCACATTACCAGTGTTAGAATAAAATATCAGTGTACTAGGCAATCAGAATCATGGGTTCTAGTCCAGCTCCTGACACTGACTTGCTCTGTGGCCTTAAACAAGTTCCTTAAACTTTCTGGGCCTCTGCTTCCTCATTAATAAAATGACAGGATTGAACTAGATGTATTCTTAGACCTTTTCCATGGCCGTTTTCTGAGTTAGGTTAGTGACCTTAATAATTGTATTATCGCCCAGAAATATTTTATTAAAACCATTAAACGAAAGAAGAAATTATTCACAGAAGAATTTCCAATGAGAGTAGTAACTTGCAGGTATCAAATGACTGACATAAGTATTACAATGAGAGTATAATCTGATAAAATATGCCTTTTGTAAAATATGTTTAAAAAAAGGCTCTTCTTAAATGTAGAGTGGAAAAACTCTTCCTACCAGAACTGACTCAGACTCTAATTAGGCAGACTCTGTAGTGTCAGATTTTCTTTACTGCATTGTATTACTGTACAGTAAACCTGAATTAATTAGCACTAATTTGAGAATTGGTCACTATGGTTATCTTATCTATTTTAAGTAGAAATGGAATTGAAAAGAACTTTATTCACA